CCCCACTAATCGCAACAAAAAGAGGTGACTGAGGAGGATAGAGGAGTATTGTTCCTCTTCCTCCTCCCCTTCCTAGTAGTTAAAGAAAGGAAATGTAATAATGGGAAGAAGAAATGGGCTTTGAGTACACAGAGCTCAGTTCATTATTTTCAGACCACTAGCCCAAAGTGTTTCTCGCCCCCACCTGCTCCACCATATGTTTCTGTCCTGAGTTTGGGAGGTTTTTTTCTTGCCTCAAATGGCAAAGGATACTTGGGGGGGCTGGGGAGTGGCTTTTTGGTTTCCCAGTCTTAGCTATATTTACCAACTTCCCTTGCAAATGGAGGGAGTAAAAACTTGATGGATGGAAGTTACATATGGCTGAACTGGATGCTCTGAGGCTCCTTGTGAGCCTTTCTGTATTGCTCCTGAAACTGATTGCTTGTCCACTTCTTACTTCGGGGTTTCACACTTGCAAACACACATAAAAGCAAAGCCCAAACTTGTTTAAAAATAACAGTGAACTTAAGACTTACTACGCTAAACACAAGGTCATTCTGATCAAAAAATGCCCCAAAAGCAGAATCTCCCACTCACGTGACAAGACAATCATCAAGCTCTTTTATGTGTAAAAAAAAAAAAAAAAAAAAAAAAGGTTTAGATCATTGTAATTGCATGAGAGACATGCATGTTTCTTCTTTGTCTTTGAAACAATTCTGTTTCTGGTACGCAGTTGGTACTAATTCTGTTTATTTTCATAGTCCTGTTACCCATCTTGGGGACAAGATTTAAAAAAAACAAAACAAAAAGTAGGTGGAAGTTCTATAGGGGAAAAAGAGAAGTGTGTGGACAAATGTAAAATCTTGAAACTGTTTTCAAGCTGAAGGGCTTTCTTAGGCTTTTTACACTGTGGATGTGACTGATTATATGAGGATATGGTTGGAGTTTGTATACTTAGGTACCCAAGTATTAGCACCAGTTATCATACCAGGAAGTTATAATTTACTTGAAGTGAGTGTATTTAACTGGAAAAACAGGTTAGCTGCACCTGCTTATCTTTCCTTTGCCTTCTGATTGACTGACTTTGAGTTGTCAGAGTTAGTACCAATTCTTATCTGGGGGTAGTTTGGGGGTTTTTCTTCATTTGGGTTTTTTTGGAGTTGTTTGGTGGGGAGGGGGGTTTGTGTTGTTTTGGTTTATTTGGTGGTTTTTTTTTTTTTTTTTTTTTTTTGGCTCTTCCACTCTTGCATCAGTGCCAGGACTACACACTCTGAATTTATCCAGAATATCTGACTTGATATGACAGCTTGGGCTCTCATGTGTGGTTGTCTGAAGTCCTTGGTGAATAGATAACAATTAGGCAGGCTTTAGAAATAATATTCAAATTAAAATACTTGGAATTTTTAAAAATAAATAGTATGCGTGCATATCTCTTGCATAAATTTAGTTTCTTGCTGGAGCATACAACGCTTCTTCAGCTGTAGTGCTGGGTGCTTGGCATCCAGCTCACTAATGACTGTCTGTCTGTTGGAAAGAGCTCTGTAGGGTTGGTTTGTTTTTTCCCCTCTGGTTGAACTTGAGTCCATACGTTCGTTCTTCAGACCAAGGAGTGGCTAGGTATCCAAATAGATTACACAAAATTTGAGTCCCTAGACTCCTGTGCCGATGTTAACAGTTTTCAGATGTCTACTGTGGGGTGGTTTATTGAGAGCAATTGTTTGCCTGCAGACAGAAAACGAATAAGCAATAGATTTATATGAATAAACAGCCCAACTATCAGGTCAGTGTACAGTGTTCCTGAGTAGTTATAGTAAATGTCACTTTTCGTCATGGTTACGGTGACTATATAGGTTGCTTCTGGAGATTCCCACATCAATTCATGATGTTCACCGACTTGCAGAGCCAAGTTTTAATGTACGTCTAGTATAATTAGTCTTGTTCTGCAGGGAACCTACAGTCCTTCACAGTTCGCCTTATTTCTCTAGCCATGTTGCTCCTGCTTTTGTTATTTAGTATTAATGGTCACCTTTCTCATTTCCTTTATTTATTATCTTCAGTATTTTCAAGGAAAAAGATGGCTCTCCTGCCTAAAGTATTATATAACTGTAAAACTGTACTGAACATAACGTGTGTGAAAGACACCAAATTGTATAGGTACATCTTATTGTGGAAAATCTATTCTTGGAGCTATCCTGATGTGACTAAATGTGAAACAAGGACACTCCTTCAGATGCATGAGACTGTGAAAATTGAATGTCGTGTTTAGGTGGAGAGAAGGTTCATCATTACAGCCCACTTCTAGGATACCACTCCAAACTGACAAGTTTTGAAAGATTTCAGGTATTGATGTGTGGGGAGAGACAGGAGGGATGAAGCTTAAGTATTTTTTGTTTGTTTTAGCTCATGTTAAATACTTCAGTCTGTTTATGGTTTGATACCTGATTTGTTGCTAGTATACTTCCAAAGCCAGGGAAACTTGTAGTGGGTTTGTTTTCCAGTTTTGTGTTTTGTTTTGTTTTTGTTGTTGTATTGTTTTTTTTTTCTCCAATGTTTGCTTTGTCATCTTAGAGGACATTGGACTAGTCAGTAATCAGAGCTTTAACCAAGAGAAGAGGCAAGATGGCAAAGAATGATGTCCATTTTTCTGAAAATTGGACATTCACATAAAAGCTACCTTAAAGTAGAATACTGTGTGTGAGAAAATTATTGTCAGGAAATGCTTCTCCACTATCAGTGGAGCTATTTATATTTTATTGAGAGCTATACATACCTAGAATGGATTTGAAAATGCATTGTTTAATAAGATCCCCAAATTGATTATATGCTAAGTAATTACTACTAACTTCATCTATTTAAACAACAAAAAAAAAATCACTGACTGTAAATTTGGGGCTTATTTTATAAAGTCATTTCCATTAATTAAAAAAAGGAATTTGCGGTCATTGTTCTAAAGCAAATTGTTGAATTGAAGCCCTTGACTCTAGTTTGTTGAATTATTATCAATCTTTTAGCAGATAGAGCTTTTTTCCAGTGGATACAGAGGGCATTTTGTTCATTTTAGTATAGACAGCACAATGGTTTTCTTATAATGTGGAATTAAAAGAATTATGAACTGTATTAAGGAGTAGGAAAGGAAAATAAAATTATCATCCCAGGTACTGGAGCTCCTAGCTCTAATATGTGACTTGGTGATCAGAAATTACTGTTCTTTCATTACAAATACTTTGTTTGATCACCTTTCAGTGTGAGTTTTGATACACCTTCATTCAATCTGTGTAGTGTAACATTTTTATTCAGACTCTAAGCAATGACTTCAAAGTTCTGCTGCATTTTCATATTTAAGATTAATTCAGGTGCCTGTCTGAATTAGCTTGATACAAAACCTGAGTGAAAGAAATTGATTCCTAGTAATTGTAGTTCGTTTTTTTCTAATGTAATGTATTTATTCAGGATTTTAATACATCAGTTTGCTTAAATATATGTATAGGGTATGCTCTTAGTAAAAGAAAACTGTTTATAGTGTGAAAGTTTTTACAGTCATAAGCTGGTAAGTTGTAGTGAAATTCTGTCCTGATTTGAAGAATAGAATCATAGAATTTAGGTTGGAAAAGACCTTTAAGGTCATCAAGTCCAACCATTAATGTAGCACTGCCAAGTCCACCACTAAATCATGTCCCTAAGCGCCACGTCTACCCGTCTTTTCAGTACCTCCAGGGATGGGGACTCAACCACTTCCCTGGGCAGCCTGTTCCAATGCTTGACCACCCTTTCAGTGAAGA